CGCTATGTAAAGGAAGTGAATCCGGCAAAAATGAATATGATCTTAGTGAATAAGTCGGATATGTTGACAGAACAGCAGCGCAAGCACTGGGCGGCGTACTTCGATGCAGAAGGCATACGTACAGCATTCTTTTCGGCCACTATGGCGGCAGAGGAGTTAAAAACAATCAATGAAGAAAGTGGTAACGAGCAGAAAGGGAGGCAAGAGATTGACAGTGAGGCTGACAGCGATAGTGACAATGATGCAAGCGACGCGGATGCCGAAAATGATAGTGAAGCGCCTGCAGAACGAGCACGCACAGAATCCAGCAAATCTGAAATGTCTTTGGATGATGTAAAAGCCGCAGCCGATGAAATTAATAAGTCTCTGGATAATGTTGAAAGCTTATTGAGCAAAATTGAGCAGAAAATCGATCCCAACGCTACTGCGTCGCATAAGGAACAAATTAAAAACGATTCAAAAGTGCTGACACGCGAAGAACTCATAGATTTCTTTAAAAGCGTATACAGTGGTAAAACCTTTACAGCGGAAGTTACTACTATCGGCTTGGTGGGCTATCCAAATGTAGGCAAAAGTAGCACAATTAATGCGTTGATGATAGAAAAGAAAGTTTCGGTATCCGCCACGCCTGGCAAGACGAAGCATTTCCAAACTCTATATCTGGACAACGATTTGCTACTGTGTGATTGTCCCGGTTTAGTGATGCCAAGTTTTGTGCTGACCAAAGCTGATATGATACTTAACGGTATACTGCCAATAGATCAGGTGCGTGACTGTTAAGTGGTATTGTGACAGTTATTTAATTTTTTGTATTATTATTTTCAGATGCGCGATCATGTGTCGCCTGTGAATTTGCTTTGCGAACGCATACCGCGACACGTGCTAGAGGATAAATATGGCATAATCATAGCTAAGCCCATGGAGGGTGAGGATGAGAACAGAGCGCCACATTCAGAGGAGTTGCTGCTGGCTTATGGATGTACGTAGATATGGAAAATAGTATTATATTGAATCGAATTGTAGAAAATGTATCATAGAACTTTAAAATGAAATATTTAACGCCTTAAATTGCTAACAAAATAACTTAACAACTTTACGCACCTCCTAAACGTCTTTTGAGCTAAATTAATGTTGTTTTATATTTTCAGACAATCGCGGTTTTATGACATCCAATGGCCAGCCGGACCAATCGCGTTCGGCGCGCTATGTCTGTAAGGATTATGTAAATGGTAAATTGCTCTACTGCGTTGCACCACCAAATGTACCTCAAGAGGAATACCATGTCTTTCCGCCCAAAACCAGCAAGGAAGTCGTTGAACAAAAACTGCCAAACCAACAACAGCGCGCTATGCGGGTATTAAACACTTTCCAATGCCTAAAATTTAAAATTAATAAGTGTTTTAATATTTTCCATTCGCTAGATCAACACAAAATCCTCTTCGAAGGAGATCGATAAGCAATTTTTCGATGCCAACAATAGCAATGCTTACGTAAAGGGCCGCAGTGATTTTCCACATGTGCGTGTTGCCAATGACGGCACTGTGGTGAGTGGTCCAGCCACAGAGAAGCCTTGGCGTAGCGTGAAAAAAGAGCGCCGAGAGAAGTTACGAAAAAAGTTTTCACATTTAGATCAGCATTAATTGAGGGCAAGCTGTTGCTAAAATATATAGGTTTTCCTTCAAAATAAAAGTACATCCCTTAAGATCAAATGTAGACTGAGCGCTAAAGGGAAACTTTTTTTAATGAATTATTGTAACTGCTAATGTAAGTGGGATTTGCAACTATAAGCTTTGTATATACATATGTATGAATATTAAATATTTATAGTTGATAAGAATCTAAAAAGACTGTTTGTTATACTACTGCATTTGAGTGCACATGCATGTAATTACGTACATATATGCACGTGTATGGCTTAAGTAACTGTATATGACTGAAAGTAGTTATAGAAGTGACTTGCTACATTTACATCGCTGCCTACCGAATTTACAACGATTTGATTAGGCAGTTATGTATTTAATTTATTGCTGTTTAAGCTAATCAGCATTTTTAATTACCTTAGCGCATGACATTTTCGACATCACACTCATATAATCGAAAAACAACAAGTGATTTTTAAGCTAAAAACAAAACCGACTTCAATTCTCATATAAAATTTTATGAGTACCGTTAAGTTCTTCACGATCCAATGCTCAGAGCTAAACCAAATTAGTAGGGCACCACCTCGGAGATACTACCTTTCCGTTAGATTTATTGAATTCGGTTGACGTGGTCCAAAGTTATCTATGCGGCAACATACAAAAAAAAAACTACCTCCTCCTTTTTTTGGGGTCGGTTAAAAACACAAACAAACATATTTGCAAAAACCGGTAAAGCAATTTTTTGGTTCTCACCAGAAAATTTATAATTGTTATACATACCTAGAGTGACCTTTAGTGAATTTCGGTGAGTTTATTGGCAAATATATCACAATGGGGATAGATCCTCCCAAAGGTGTAAGCCCACGACATCGCCACTATAAAAATGCTTAAAAGCCTGGGACCAACTTCTCACAACCATCTTGAAGAACCCCGAGATGGAGAAACCGGGTAGAATTTTTACCCTTTTGTAAAGCCAGAGCAAAAGGCGGACCTAAAAAAATCCTACGTACCAAAATTGGCCTATCAACTATTTGTGCGGGCTAATCGTCAGTAGAATTCCCTCAAAGTTCAAAGCGAGAGGATTAAACAGCAATTTCTTAGAAAGTTTATACTTGCCTTGAGGCAATTCAATCTCTACGTGACCCCGCTTCCTTCCGCGTCAGAATGAGTGACTTATACCGGCTGTTAACAACATCCGGCATATAGAGATTCACACCAATCACCTCTTAACATGCTCACTCTAGCCTACCTAGCCAACACTCCTCTCTCTCTAGTCAAACACCGTCGAAACGGCACGTTTTTGGGCCTACCGTGTCTAAATCCTTTAGAAAGTTTCTTAATCGAAGCTCTACCGCGGCTGATAAGAAGATGAGGCCAAAGCTCTAAGTTCTTAGTCCTGGAGTGCTGTCATGTGTGAAGCTGCCTTCACGAATCTATAGCTGACTAAAACCTGGACAGCATAAACAACATTTAGTTGGCACAACAGAATCTAAAAACGTGTACGTTCGGATTTACCTTTCGCCAGGGCGTAAATTTGTGCACTTCGATCTCTCTGCGTTTTTCATTCGGGAGTTCGACATGGATTTCAACACGATCTCAACTGCAAAAAACCCATGGCGCGAAGACCCAAAAATGTTAAGTAACCCTGGACTGCCTACTCTTCATCTCCAAGAACACAACCTCCCTCAATCGTTACCAAAGCTCAAAGTAAAAGCTCCTCAACTCGCTCTGCTATGTGATTTCAGCGGACGAAGTTACAGACACAAACTTCACACTGCCACGAAATTGCTTTGTCTTTTATAGATTCCTTAAGATGATTTCTCGTATATTTTTCTAGATATTTTAGCGGGTGGAACAGCGCATATCTAGAATTAACACCGACATACCAGTTCCTGAGATCGAAGATATAGACGACATATCGCTCTTGAATCGGACTTACCTAACCAACGCCTCCAGAATGTGTTGGCAAACTGTTGCGCATAAATTCAGTCTTTTCTCATTTTGTCGGGTCCTACAGCAGATTCCATTAAAGGTTTTAAACCACTAAAGCTACATAAGAGAAGGTGGTTCGGTGTGAGGGCCACGTCTGCGCAATGATCCAGCGAGATGTAGATCAACAGACGTGAGTTTACGATTGAATCCAACTACATTAAAGCACCCTGCAACAAATCGTCAGAAGAGTGGCATGACTGCAATATCCTAAAGAGAAAACGCATATACGTCGAAGCGGCCGTAAGTGAAGGCACACACTAACCTTTCTCTATCCATTTCTTTTGAGGCGGTAGTAAGTTTCCGCTGAGTAGCTTTAAATTTGCTGTTGTCACTACAGAACTCCGAGGGTGTGGCTATGAAATTTCGAACAGGGAGCAAGCAGCTCATCTCTGATTGAGCACCTTGTCGACCCAAACGACAGTCAGACCTACGTAACCGCGACGACCCAGATTCATATCTGGCTAAGAACTGCCACGCCAGCATCATTGCTCTAAAGCTATTTGGGAACTTTTTATGATGTTACAATAACAAGAACTGTAGAAACAAATGATTTGGTGGATTTTGCGTCGAAATAGCCCCATAAACTTCAGTCTAGCGGAAAGTAAGTGGCCCACTTATTTAGCCAAAGATGCTGGAAAAATTTCCCGAGTGAAATAGCGCCCTATCTTTTTAGGGAATGAAAGCCCCACTCTAACAGCGTGCTTTGTCGTGTTGGACCTATTGTGCCTCGTACTGAAGTTATTCGGGTTTTATGGGACCTAGGAGTGGGATTTCCGCGACCTAATCATTTCATTTCGCCAGCTTGTTATAGCAAATGGACTATGAAATTCGAATGTATGTATGTATGTATATACATATATGTTTGTATAGCCGTTGGTCAATTGAAGAAAATGTTTAGGAAAACAGGCCCTCCAATGCATATGCATGTTTGTATGTATGTACTTAAAAAAAGGTAAAAACTTACTAAAATCGCAAAGACCGGTTTGAAGAAGGAAGATAAAAAATATTTATATATTTATGCATACAGTGGTGGCAAAATAAATGGGGACGCAAGATTTTATTTAATGTTACAAAGTTTTCTTTTGTTTATTTAATATTTATTATTTTTGTATAAAATTATAGCTCATTATCAAACAGAAACCGTATAAATTCACATCTCAAACTTTGTCCAAGAATTATAAAAATTGCGCGAAATTGCATCTTAATTTTCAGCTTTTTAATTAGGTTTTGCAGAATTTTGTTTTTGTTTTTTTTGTATGCTGTTGTATATGCCACTAAATTCTAGTAGAGTGCAAGTTTAAAGTGGCTAAAAAATCGCGTTGAATTTTGATAATTTTGTTCCATAAAAAAATTTTCTAAAATACTTTGCAGCGTGAAAAAAATCTCCAAAAATCAACACGATTTTTAGCAACTTGAAACTTACACTTTCTCATACTAAAATTTAATGGCCTTTAAAACTGCACACTGAAAAAAGTTTAAGATTTAGATGCAATTTGCAAAATTTTTAGTTTTTGCACACAGTTTTAAGTATGAATTTATATGGTTTTTGCTAGATAATGCATTATAATATTTATTTTTCTACCGTTGTAGGTATGTATCTAATTAAATATATGTACATACATACATATATATAAGTTAGCCAATTAGTAATAATAAAATGATAATAAGATCTGGAAGTGCAAATTTCATGTACACATACATACATACGTGTAATAATATTTCTTTGGCTGTAGTATGTATGCATGTACATACATATATCAAAGCTAAAGAATGCATGCACATTGGGGTGGTCGAAGAATGCATGCGGGGGGGAAAAAGTAAAGTCGGAGTTCTTATGCTCTCACCTCTAGGATTGTTCTATACCGAAAAAATTTACCACTATTTTTTATTTTGAAATCAAAAAATATTTATAGGTCGTTCAAAGCGCTCAAAGTTTTCCATGTATTCGTAGAAATGGTATAGAATTCTTGAAAATCAATATTTTTCGATCGGAAAACTCTATGTGTCTTCAGGAAATTTCCAATAATAACACCCAATTGTTTATTTACAATACTTTTTTGAATATCTATATTTTAAATTTTTTTGTAAAAAATCTTTAGTATCAAAAACTGGTTAAACAATTGAATATTATTATTGGAAGTCTCCTGAAGAAACCCATTTTTCTGATCGAAAAATGTTGATTTTCAAGAATTCTATACCAATTCTACGAAAATTAGTTTTTTCCCATATAAAATACATGGAAAACTTTGAGCGCTTTGAGCGACCTCTATATATTTTTTTATTTCGAAATAAAAAACAGGAGTATATTCTGTTTCTATGTAGAACAATCCCAAGGGGTGAGAACATTAAAACTTCGACTTGACTTTTTTCTTTTACCACCCTAATGCATATACATACATACACACATCCACTTCTCGCATTGCAATATTTGTCTACGCGCATCAAGACAACCGCTTTTGTCCCCAGCCACAACCACGATGCTTGAGCCTATGTGACTCTCTGGATTATTCCTTTATTTCAGTTTTAATTCAACTATCGCCATGAGTGCACCAGCAGAATCCGCAACAACCGCGAATTTCGTTGCAGCTACTGCTACGCCCGCTACCGCTACCACCACCGCCATCACGCCGAACAATCGTAAGCTATCCCTTTCATACCGCGAAATCAGCGTGCAACAACGCGGCGATCGCATTTCCGTAATCACATTCAATCGCCCTGCGGTACGTAACGCGCTGACACGTCGCGGCTACTACGAATTGATAAGCGCGCTACGCGATGCCAGGCTCAACGACGCCATTACAACAATTGTACTGACCGGCGCCGACGGCTGCTTTACAGCTGGCAATGACCTCACGCAGTTGAGCCAATACCCCGATGCGCACAACTATTTTCGCTCATCTAACTATGTACTGCGTATGCTGGTAAAGCAATTCATCTACTGCCCCAAAGTGCTGGTGGCGCTTGTCGATGGCGCGTGTGTGGGCATTGGTTTTGTGTTGGCCGCGCTCTGCGATGTGGTCTACTGCACGGAGCGCGCTTACTTTCAAGCACCTTTCACACAGCTTGGCATTTGTCCGGAGGGCTGTGCCACCTACTTGCTGCCGCAGTTGTTGGGGCGTGTTAAGGCATCGGAATTGTTGTTATTTGGTACGCGCTTACATGCAGAGGAAGCGCTAAACTTCAATTTTGTGGCTCGCATAGTGCCCGCAGCGGAGTTGGAGCGGCAGTTGTGGCCGCAGCTTTTGGAGGCGGCGCGCTTGCCGGTAGAGTCGCTGCGCGCCACCAAGCGGTTGTTGGGCAGAGCTGAGCTTGAGCAATTGCTGCTCGCATTGGAGGCGGAATGTCGGGTGGTGGAGCCGCTGCGATTTGGCGAAACATATCAGCGCGCGATAAAGGCGTTCGTGAAGCGCGAGGAACGTGAGGAAGTGGTTGATAATAAAAGCAAGTTGTAAATAAATATTTTTTTAGTGAAAAGTGTGGGTGTTTTATTTGGAAAGTTACGAAGCTGCAAATACAGATTGGAAGTTGAAGTGAGCTAAAACTGATGTATAGCCAGTTTCACAAAAGCAATTTAAGGGAAAAATTAGTATTTTTTATTTGAGTTTAATATGAAAACCGGCAAAATGGATAAAAATATTTTTCACTACACAACCCTGAAGATATATTTTCCATATTAATGCAAATGAAAAAATTTAGAGAAAAAAATTTTTAAATCTTTTATCAGAAAAATTTTGTCAAAAACTTATTTTCAGAAAAAAAAATGTAAGTCATCGGTTTTTTTAAGTTTTTTTTTTAGTAAAACCGGAAAGTTTTGCTATTTTCAGGAGAAATTTTCCTAGGAAATACACAAAAAATTTCACGAAAGAAATCCTTTTTAATTTATTGCTTTAATTTTTTTAAATTTTAAATGTAAAAGAAATGAAAAGGTGGTTTAAAAAAATAAAAAATAATAATAATGCAGATTTCCAAATTAAAAATTATTTAAAATAAGAAAATTTTAAAATGAAAAAAACGTAATTTCTTTTTAAAAAAAGTCTCACTCTTCTGGAAAACACTTAAAAAAAAAATAATTTTTGAAATTTTTATGTACGGGAAGGTTTTTTAAATTTACCAAATCGAGATTAAAAATACATTTTTCAGATAGTAACATTTGATTTTTTTATTGCGAACTATTTTTTTTTTAATTGAAGGATTTTTTTTTTATAAAATACCCAGTGATGGAAAATTAGGCACATTTCTACGCTTTTTACCCCTCTTAAGACCAAAGAGGTAAAATTTGGTACACTTGACTCAATTTAGGTACAATGCATTTCTCCCAAATAGTTTCCAATCAATGGTTTATGTACATATTTATATAATGAGCATTGAATGGCACTGAGTGTCATCTATCAACCACCTACAAACGATCTTGCATCATTTAGTCTGCATTTGAGCATTTTATCGCTGAAATTAAAAAAAAAAAAACTAGAGAGATTGGACATTTTTTTATTTTTTACCTATCATCAACCTACAAATGACCACCAAAACGATTGCGATATTCTAAATAATATTTTTCAATTAAGGAGTGACAAACTGATAGCGAAAAGTCAGAGGTTGACAGCTTACTGCAATTAAAATGTTAAGTTAAAAATCGCTGATAATACTCGTTAATATGTATGTATGTACAGACGCAATGTAAACAACCGAGCATGAGCAGTAAAGAGCTTAAGTAAAAGGTTTTTTTTTTTTTTATTTAGGTAAACGTTCCTCAACCGCATCTGAAAACTGAGGCGTAGGAAAACTCCTCAAGATTCTTTTTATGCGTTTAAGCAAAATTTCCTTACCAAGCCAGTTCTAATTTTTGTAGGCAAAACTCATAGAATTGAAAAGCTAAATTTAACACCCAGTTTGTCAGTGCCTAGTATAGAGGGAGAATAATTTATGTGTAGGTACATATGTGCTCTGCTAAGTTTTCTGATGATCGTGCATATGCATATCTACTCGTATTCAAGTAAGTGACTATGTACATATGTATATATTTAAATATATCAGGCAACGAACCCACAGAAAGTAAAAATTTTTCTAACAACAAAAATAATTAAAAGTGAGAGTATCACTTTCAGAATTGGCGTTAAAATTGGATGAAGGCGAACGAGTTGTCTCAACAGATGTTTGTATTCATTTTTCGCGTTTTACTTGCAAATAAACAACTTGCATGCGATTCGACAATAAAAAATATGCTCTTTGTACGGCTTAAACAAGTCAAATTATTAACATTACTTATCATAACAAAAAAAAAAAATATTATACATATGTTAATACTCAAATTTTGCAATATTGCCACAAAAAATATATGGGTGCATTAAAATCGGGCATGCAAAAAATTTAAAATTACCCTTTTGTGGAGGAAAATGTAGATGACTTTAAAATAATTTCGTATAAGACTTTTCGATCGCTCTCCTGATTAGACTACAAGAACTCAGGCGAGGGTCAATGCCCAGAATGTTTAAATATTTCGCATTCTAGTTTAGTTGTTTCTGGAAAAATTAGCCTTTTTAATAGATGTACGATTTAATAGCTTTATTACTGTAAGGCTTCAGGTTTTTGAGAGCTTAGGAAAGCGGCTATGTGGAATGGTTCCAAAGCACAGAGTAGGAATTAATGGACTCATTCCCCGCAGCTTTTGCTACCCATTTTGGGGTCGTTTTCCCAACTACGTTTTAAAATTTATCTTCCCTTTAAACACAAATGTTGTTCTGAAAAAAATGAATGTAATACCGAAAATTATCGCGTTGTTTACGCGCCCAAAAATTCAGCATTTTAATAGCGTTACACTTAACCTCCCCCTTTTTAAAACATACACATGCCTTGCCGCAAGCGCTTCCGGTCAAGTTCAAGAACCCAAAATCGAAACCTGCTCCAGTTTAGCGTAAATTATAGCTCGCGCGCACAATGTGCGATAATAGCGCATGAATAATATTACAAGTGAATGCATTTTGTGTGCTTTCTTTCTTGGTTGTTTTCTTTTTTTGCTTAACTTTCAGTCTCGCAACCCGCTGCGCCGATACATATTACCCATATTACTGAAAACAAAGTAGCCAGCACAATCGCCGTTTGCACAATCGCACAGCAGCATGCGCAGCGCTTCGAAGTGAGCTGCTTTGCAAACCAGCCAACAAGGCATCGAAAAAATTCAATTCCCAAAAAATTTATTTAAAGTGCTGCAATTTCGCGCTGCCACTTTAGTGTTGCTGCTATAGGCACGCGTTGAACAACGGTACCCACTGCGCTTTGTTACATTACGTACTTGCTTTAACAGAAATCTCGTTTCATTTCCCTTTCCGCCAACGCTATGGAACGCTGGGTGGACAAAGTCGCTGTAGTTACAGGTGCCAGCTCTGGCATCGGCTGGGCTGTCGCGCAGGACTTACTTAAGGCGGGCATGATTGTAATTGGTTTTGCGCGTCGCCTGCAAAAAATGGAGGATCTCAAGGAGACGCTGGATGTGTCCATACGTGAAAAGTTTTATCCGCGTTGCTGTGACTTGACTGTGCTGCCCTCGCTGAAGAGCAATTTCCATTGGATCGAACAGCGATTCCATAGCTTGCATGTGCTCGTCAACAATGCTGGCATGGTTCAGATGACCAAAGTGCTGGAAGAGAGCAATGAATCGACGCTGAAGCAAGTGATTGATGTCAATTTAATGGGCACAGTGAATTGCACAAAGCAAGCGTATAGGCTAATGCAGGCCACAATGGCGAAGGGTGAAGCATGTCATATAGTAACGGTAAGTAGTCTATTGGGTCACACAGTGCCGTTACACATACCCGAATGTGGCTTGAATTTATATCCGGTGACGAAGCATGCGCTACACACCCTGCATGAGGTTCTGCGGCGGGAGCTCTTTCCGCACAAACTGATGCGGTTGTCGGTGAGTGGGAGGGGTGTGGAATTGAATATTTTTTCTTTTTATTTCTTAAATTTTAAATTTTTTCGCCACAGTCCATTAGCCCCGGCCTGACACGTACTGACTTTGGCGGTGCTCCGTCTGATGACGAGAAAAAGAAGTGGGAAGAATTGATTGAGCCAGATGAAATTTTGCTGCCCGAGGATGTGGCGCGTGGCGTAAATTTCATACTCTCCTCGCCGCCTCATGTGACCATAGCTGACTTACTGATGGTACCAGCGCGCGAAAGGTACTAAAAAGCTGAACTAGGGTGTTCTATCACGGAATACGCGCACTTATATGTATTAGTCTGAGTAATGTTGATATAAGTCAACTAAAAATATTAAGAATCAAAAACTTCTAATTTATAAGAAAAATATTTGTAAATAAATTTTATATGTACACCAGCTCAAATTGGCAACATTTCCTCCATTAGAGTGCGCTAGCTCTTTATAACGCTTGACATTCACTTAAAATCAAAGACATTTATTTACAAAATGTTTCTGCATACTTCATTCCTTTTATTCACAATGCTATAAATTCATTAAGGGTTTCCTTAAGCAACAATAGCTCAGCTTCAACACTTGAAGAAATTACAGGATACAAAAACCAAACGCTTATTACAAAACGATTTCTCACAAAATGAAATAATTTAAATAAGCCAACAAACATTTTCTTTTTACTATTTTAAAATTATTTAAATATCATAACAAACATTTTCTTCAATCAATCACTTAAAGGGCTTTTCGGTCATCAGCAATCCGCGCTCCCACAACGCCGTAACCATTTGCACCTTGCGTTCTTCATCGTCCATTGGTAGCTGTGACACACCCACATACTCGGGATAAGAGCGTATGAGCACCTCTACGCTTGCCGCTTCATCCGACTCAATTTCAATAAAGTTGGGTTCATATTCGCAGTACTCCTTCGAGTTATCCAAGTAATAGTATATGCGCACTTTGCTTTCCTCCTGCACCAGCCGCAATATATTTGCGCGCAGCAAGCGTACGTTGGTCCGCTCATCGATTTCGTAGTCACACATGCATTCGCCTTGTTCATTGGTAGTGCTGCGCGAACCGAATATGGTGCGCGCGCGCTCTGTTGGCAATACATGTGGCGGCAGAGCTTCATGTTGATACTTTTTAGCGAGTTGATCCACAGCTGCGTCCATCATTTCGGCCAGTGGCGCGCTATCCAAACATTGTCCGAACAGTTCAGTCACTTTGCGTAACAGTTCGGCACGTTCTTGAGTGTCATTGTCGCTGTATGCAATGCCAGCATGCTGAAAAGTATGCAGCGGCAAGCCGCGACGCATATCAAGGTTGCTTTCAATGGCGCGCTGTAACACCAGCGGCACCATCCGCTCGAAGAGGTCAGCGTAAGATTGCTTTTGATACACGCTCAGCGTGATGTGCAATGAATGATAGCCCGGTTCGGTGCAAGCTTGATGGATGGTGCCGCGCGGAAAGTATAACATGTCGCCGGGTTCCAGCACCTAAAGAGACATAATTGATACAGAAACTAATTTATGTAAATGAAAGGCAGGAAATGTTATCATACGAACCTCATCAAATATGGGCTTGCCGATTTCCTGTTGCTTAAAGTTCTTCGACGAAAAACGCGGCAGCTGCTCTGCCTGCGTTCGCGGTTTATAGAGTCGCCAGCGCTTGCGTCCCTCAATCTGCAGCACAAAAGCCTCTATATCATCGTAATGTGGTGCAAAACCTTGGCTGTTGGGCGGTGTGAGATAGGCATTAGCGCCAACTAGGCAGTGGAAGTACTCCTGCAAGGTGGTATTAAGCTGAAACAGCTCTGGTATAAAAGTTTGTGGGTTTAGCAGGCGTATGCTGCAGCCTCGCCCATAGTGATCCCAAACAATGGGCGGCATGGCGCGCCCTACCGGATTAAGTGTTTCTCGTTCACCTGTAAAAAAAGTAAAAATTAGGAATGCCAACAGAATAAGTGGAATAATTCCTTGTAATAAAGCTACTTTCAGCAACTCACCATTTTTATACGAAGTAATATCGATATTTTTTGTAAATTCTACATGATTTTTTATTAACATCTGGTCAATAGCCTCAAACGATATGAGATGCGAGTAGTAGTTGGATCCCTTGCGCTTGACCAAACAGGCGCTAGCTTCCCAATACTTTGCAAGGAATTCCTTAACCGCCAGTGGACTTAGTAGCCAGCGAAATACCTTTTCACCCTCCTGTATGCTATTCATTTTGACGATATTATTTGGTGGCGATAATGGCTCCATCTTCACCATCTTTGCATCCACAGTAACTTTCGAGGTGGACGCGCTATCACTGCTAGTTGAAGCAATAGAACGTCGTTTTTGTGCACCTTTCTCTATTTTCTCAGTTGCTGCTGCTGCGGCAGGCATTGACTTCCGCTTATCAACGGGTTTTTCCGCTTGACGCGATTTCTTAGGCACACTCGCTTCACTGCCAGTCTTTGCAACTGCACCTTCATTGGATTTGCGCTTAGGCACTGGCGCTATGTTTTTGGTTGACGTGGCAACTGGTTCATTTTCTTCCGCTGATTCAGTTGAGGATTCGACGCTGAGTTCAGTGCGCTTAGGCACTGCCGCTTTGTTTTTGGTGGACTTGGCAACCGGTACATTTTCTCCCACTGATTCAGTTGGGTATTCACCGCTGAGTTCAGTTTCTTCTTCCTCGCTCTCTTCGTCATCATCATCTGTGTAACTATTTATTGTGTACTCGGAGAATTCTTCAGAGCCACTACTATAGTCTTCCTCGCTGCCAAACTCTGAATCCTCTTCTTCTTCACCAGCCTCTTCATCATACTGCTTTAGCTGCCGCACTAAATAATCTTCCAATTCCTGTTTCTTTTTCTGCTGTGCTTTAGTCAGCTTTTTGGCATTTGAAGGTGAATCGCCCAACAATTGCTCCACCAAAGTGTCGATATCGTTTCCTTTAATGCCGTTGGAAACTTGTTTACCGTTAGTAACTGCGCGTTCACCTTTCTGTTTCTGCTTAGCGGGTTCTGTCTTGTTAGCTGCTTTGTTGGCAACATTTTTGGTTTGAGGCGTTTCAATTTTTGGGGTTGTCTTTTTGGTAGCGTCCTTGGCCTTAGCAGAGCCATCTTTTTCCCTGTTGGGGGCAACTTTATTCTTAGCTGGTGCACCATTTTCCTTCGCTACGCCGCTCGACTTGGCCTCAGCACGATTTTTAGCACCAGATTTTGGTTTATCTTTTTGCAAAGATGTATTTTTCTCCTCAGTTTTTTTGTTGGCACCTGCTTTGCTACCACCAGCAGCACCTCCACCGGCTTTCTTGTTGTTTGATTTTCGGCCTGTATTTCCGCCTTTCGAAGCTGCAGCTCGATATGCTACAAACGCTGAAATTGGCTCAGACATTTTTACGTACAATTCACTTTGTAATAACACGGAAAAGTTGCTAAATTCTAAAATTAAACAATCAAAATGCGTTATGTGCCCGCTAACCGAAATTGCAGCACGTGCGACTACAGTACGAATGAAAAGTGCGCGAGACCAATAGGAACAGGGTTGCATGCCTGTTATACGAGGTCGTATAGGAAATAGATAACCATAAATTCTATTTGAAATTGAGATAAAAGAAATAAATAGGATTTTCCACGACAGTCGGGTCTACGTAAACGGAACGACCCTGATTTATATCTGGCCAAAGACTGTCAACCCAGCTACACTCCAAAAAATCTTTTTTGGGAAATTTGTATGCGGTTACAACAAGTACAACGTTACTTGGCTACAGCATTTTAAATATGATTTATTAAAGTATAAAATAATCTAACATATCTCACAATTTGACATAATTTAATGAACAATACAATTTCATAATAATTCAAGCGCTTAAGTAATACCGAATTTAGATACATAATTCACATAAACGAATAGACACCGCGCGCAAATAGCTGCTTTTGCCCTCAAAAATCTCCGTTATCATCACTGTAGCCATTTATTGTATATTCCTCCGAGAATTCATCAGAATCATCGCTTCCAGATTCAACATCACCATCACTTGCATCTTCGCTGTCGGACTCCGACTCCTTGTTGCTATCTGTATCAGAGTCATCATCACTGCCGGACCAGCAGCAGCTACACTCACTGCTTGAATTAGTTTCTGAGTCGCTGCCCGACTCAGAGTCCTCAGTACCAGATTCAGAAGATGCGCTATTTTCACTCTCCTCCTCCTCCTCTTCATCGTCGTAATGCTGCAATTTCTTCACCAAATAAGCCTCCAAATCGCGTTTGGTCTGCTTTTGTGCATGAGTTAGCTTCTTGGAGCTGTCCATTAGTTCTTCTATCAATGTGTCGATTTGCTCCTCCTTAATTTTTTTGGTATTTGGCTTATTGCTCTTGTACTTAGACATCTTTGGTACAGGCATTTTTAAAATTGTCTTTCTAGTTTACTAGACCGCAAGCAAGCAACTAACTTAAAACAATTCGTGAATAACGGATTTAAGTTATGTTGCTGCGAAATTAGTGCGGTCAAGGCGAATTTATACAAGGTCATGGACCAAGGCGAATCTGTACAATGTGGTGTTACTGGCGAATTTAGATTACAACAACGACATCCACATGTATTTTGTATTGCGGGTGTTATGTCAAACCTCAATTCACCCCAAAATTTACATGTATTTTGTTTTTGATTTTGATGGGTGTGGTGTCAAATCAGTAAAAGCAAACATAAAAATACATGTAAGGCGAAGAAATCAGCTGATCTTACAACACCACCTTGTATAAATCCGCCTCGGCTGCGGTCGGTAGGAATGTTGTTTTTATGTTGAAGCTTAATTTTTTTCATGGTTGCATTTTCCCTTTCTCAAAACCCAAATTTCTTTACTCTACTGCTAAACAGGGCTGCCAACTTGGCTCAAACCGTGCCGTTTTTGGCCCTATTTTACATCTAATGGTACTTAATTTTTCAATTTGACACTTAGTGCCAAAATGGCACTTTTCAAAAATAGTAATATTTCAATAAATTTTTGTGAAATCCTTCGCGTGTGCTTATTTTTCTCAACTAAAATTTTCTAATTTTTAAAGACTATTCAACTGGTTTATCTTATTTTGGCACTGCACTTTTGTTTTAGAAACGTGGTTTTTATTTTATTGCTAAATGGGAAAGATTAAAAAGAATGGCACCATTTGTGGCACTTTAATTTTTTTATTTGGAACATTTTGGCACTTTTTTATCCTCAGTATGGCACCTCATTGCTAGGGATAGTTGGCAGCCCTACTACTAAGGTATTCGATTTGACCGAATGTGAACGGAAAAATACTTGCGATTTGTTTTAAAATAACTGTGTACTAGTAGGGAATTAGGAATTTACCTACGCAATCTGAATGAGGGGATCAAAATCATAGATATCAGTCCAGAGTCCGTCCAGAAAAACATTACTCGTACTTTTGTTTGATTTATAAAGAGTATGAAAACATTAGACTGAATACGTCATATTTCAGATGTTTTAGCGCCAAGAACGTAACGAATTGCGACCCTATCTTCGATTAAAAACAACTTTAATATAATGATAATTATTGTCAGATAGAAAGTAAATAAATTACTATTAATAACAACAAAAACCCAAAAATAGTAGCTCACTAAATAGAAATTTTCATCGAATCCCAAAGTCGCAAAAAATTGCTCAAACTATCATCTGCTAAGTAGATTATATTTCATTTAAAAATACAAAGTGGACCGAGTATTTTCGAACTCCCATGAAATTACTATGGGGAATTTTACTATTTCGCTGCTCAAAAGACAAAAACTTATGAAATTTACATTTATGGCCTCCAGAGGCACCTTTACTATAAAATTTCACATAAAAGAAAGATTTTTTTTTGACAAACTTATAACATTTTTTAACACAGAACAATGAATTGAAAATATTAAGCTAATACATATATAGTTTTTGGTCGCATATTTATCTTCGTAGTCTTCTAAATCAACATCATTAAAATCGTTTTCCTCAGCAGCTCCATGTAACTCTCGTCAATATTAGTAACAACCACCGGAACTGCAGCTATCTGTAGAATCAGAACAATCACTGTTAGAATCTGTTGAACCTTCATAACAATAAGAACAATCACAATAACTGTCATCCCGCTGGCGTGTAGTAGTTGTTTTCCGCGCAGCGGTTTTCGACTTTGAATCTGTTGTTGTACTTTTCCTTGTGGAGGTGGTCTTCTTTGTCTTGCTGGCCGTAGACGATTTGGCCTTTGTTGTTGTTGTTGATTTTGGCCTTTTAGCGGCAGCTGTGGTGGTCTTCTTAGCGGTTGTTTTTTTGGTAGTCGTCTTCTTGGCGCTTGAGGCTGTTGATTTTGGTTTAGATTTAGTAGTTGTGGATTTTCGTGGTCTCGAAATTGTGCACGAGCCGCCCGAGCAAGTGGGTACAGGCATTTTTAAAATTTAGAAGTTAAATATAATCGAATAAATATTTTTTATTTGTGAAAATATAACTTAACGCCACTATTGATGCATCGAAACTGCCGCGCTGGGCATGACGAAACACTTGTTGAACCGAAAACTTAACGGAGTTTTTCTAGTTCAAAATTAATTGGAAGTTGTGGTAAATACAACGGCGTTCTAATTTCATGCAGCGGCGCGGCGTGAAACCACTTCACTTGTACAGTACGAATGAAAATCGTTTGCTACAGCTGATTTTGACAAGGCGAGCGTTTATTTTGCAGCAGAATTGCACAATTTTTAATTTTTTTTTTATTGAATAAGGATAATAATGCGTCTGACTGAAGTGTTATTTAAGAAAGTTAAAAGCAAGTAAGTATTTTTTTGCAATGAAGGCAATGACCATTTGTTATTAATCCATTTTCCTCGGTATCGGACAGACGCATCATGGTGCTCATGGAGAGCGTGGTCAGTGGCCATCAATTCAACATGTTCCGTGATCGTTTAGCGGAAAAGCTGGAGTTGATACGCTTTGATCCATATAGTAAGTCAAAGTGTGTTTTTATAGAGTTTAAAATTTTTTACGCTAAACGAATGTCTTGCTCTTTGTAGTACAACAGGAGTCCATATACCGCGAACGCAAGAGGATACGCAGCGCTAAGTGATATATGTACATATTAATCTGCTAAATGTAGAAAAATAAGTTAATGAGCATTTGTTTTAATTTGTAGCACAAAACTGCTGTTAGATAGCAAATGATTACCATAAAAATAAAAGCACTTCTAGATGTCTGAAGCAAGAATGTAAGGTTACTAAAAGTTTTTGTAATCTTAATACGTATGCACATTTATACAAATTAAATTGGTTTATTTTAGTATACCTATAAAGGGTTATAGTTTGTATATGTACTGACATAATGTTCTGGCAGAGGTCCAAAATGTATAATTCGATGCTTAAACTAAGCTTGGGGAAAAAGTTAAAAGGCTTATTTAAATAAAAGTTGTAATGAATCATTGGAAAAATCACGAGAATTAAGGTAATATTAGTGGAAAGAAAAATTTAAACAATGTTGCTGCGGCGGTACTATTGTATTTATTAAATTCTGCTCTTTATTATTTCACTTTAATTAAATAAGCCCGACTATAAGTATTTTTGATGTATACTTTATTCTAGCAAACTTATTCTATTTTAATTAATACTGCAGATGTTGCGAGGTTTACTTCGGCTAAAGGTATTAATCTCATAAAATTAATTTGAAGATCGCAGGCAGCATTAAACTGCAATATAACGGAGTATATAAAACTCTTAAACTAAGCCTGTTATTACTTATAATTTATTGGAAACATTAATATTTCCGGTGCTCAAAAATGTTTAAAGCCATCTGGACTTTCAAAAGTATACGATTTCCAGGCGACAATTGCATTAAATCAAATTATGTTTACCAGTTAATCTACATCAAATCCGATTAGTCGTAGTGAAATTAACTTAATTAGTGTGATTTACGCAAAGAGACCTTATTCAAGTTTGCATTTGCCCTCTAATGCCGACCACCTGTGACAATAACAACAGCAAAATGACTAACAACAGCTTTCTCAAAGTACTAAGTTCATATAGACCATGGTTCAGCGTTTGGCCAACACATGTACAACGCATGAGCCTATCATTATTGTAACTTTTTTTTCTGCGCCATTCATTAGGGAAGCCATTTGAATGCAACACAATGGTCGATATAACAGTCAAGTTCAAGCAGCGGAAACTACTGATGGCTAATCACAAATTAAGCGTCGTAGCTTGAAGTGAGTGTGAGACTGATAAACGAATGGCGAAAATTTCAAGGCTGTTCCGTTGACGCCATTGCAAGCGGAGGCACATATAGGTGCATTCTGTATATGTATGTATATACGTTTGTGGCCGCTTCCCCAGCAACGTGCATTTCCGCATAGCACGGCGCCAGTAAGTGTGCCGAAAAATGCAACTGTAAGCGCAAATGTACTCATTAACCCATTTGAGCGCACATACCAAAAGTGCACCTACAACACAATAGTCATTGCCATTCTTCGCCTCATTGCATCCAATACGTTTACACTTCTCCCCAACAGCGAACAACAGCACGTTGCCTTCGAAGCTGCTGTTGCGGTTGGCAAATTCTTGCTATCTACATTTCCTCTTCCTGATCTTTTGTTTTTCACACTTTTTTGGCATTCCGCCGACGCGCAGGAACTTGCAGCCATTGTTTGTGGCATCAATAAAGCAGCGGAAATGCATCAACCCTTGTTTGATTGTGTGTTACCCATGTATGTATGCGCATATGTCCATATGCCGGTGTCGTCATGAGAAATTGATAACCGAAATGGTGGTTAGTGGCATCGACGAAGTGGGCGAGGAAATGCAGACTCGACGGAAGAGCTTGCGCGTTAATGAAATTTTCGTCAGGAAATGTTTTGGTACACAAAATGAGCAATCGATTGTTGCATACTTGCTGGCGTATTGGCAGGAAATGAGATACAGATTTCGGTAGCACAAAAATAGAGTTAAGAAAAATTTAATGAAAAGAAAAAGGCGAGTGCATAAAGTTTCGTAAGTTACTAAAAAAAGAAAGACAAATGCTTCAATTTGCTCTTAGAATAAAGTAAACCATACCAACAACGTTAAGAACTCAGAGAATATAGACATCTGAGATACTTTATCTGCTTATACTGGAGAGTAGTGCAAAAACTCTTAAGGGAGATATTAAATTGGAAAAAAGCCTGATTTCCCCGTGAAACAAAAAGCGGTCCTTGAGGGCTATTTTAAAATAAGTTTAATGTTTTGTAAATTTATATAATTTTTGATAATACGCAAGGTGTTGACGCATTTTGATAATTTCCCTAAAAGGGAAATTTCAAGGGAAAGTTTTCAAATGGAGAGAAATTTCCAACGAATAATTTAAATTTCATATATTTTTAATACTTTTTCAACGAACAAATGCAGACCAGTTAAAATTTAAACAAATTTCCCTCAGGAATATATATAAGGAAATTATTGAAAAAAATTATTTATTAACCGTCAAAAATAAAATTTCTTATTATTCTCTGGTTTTAACCAGAGACTGAAAACAAAAGTTATTTTACAATTTTTGACACCAAAAAGGCATAGTGAAAAAATTATGCTATAGCTTTTTCAAAGGTACCATCAGACTCATCTCTCATTGTAGGTTATGATTCCTCCATGACTTTTAAAACCCCGACTTATCATTTTGAGCAAATAATACCGATTAACTGCCTTTAATTTGTTTAAGGCAAAAATAAAAGTTAAAATTTGCCGTTTATTTTTTTTTAGCAGAAAATAATCGCCAATTTTTGACCTATATTTTTCAGGCAAAAATAAAAGACAAAGTTGCAAATCAAGTATTCCAGAGTTGTGTATATTCGAGTGTGATAGTTTTAGGTTAGATAGTCTAACCGGTACGGTCTATGGTTTTAACAAATGATCTTTCATTTTTTTTTTGTGAGCAAACCTAAAGTCCCTACGCTCAGTAAAATAATGTGGATGCCTTAACTAAAAATGAAATTGGTATAACAGTTCATGCAGCAGATGTCAGTAGAGTTGCTGGAAAATTTTGTATGTTTGAACTAAAAAACCAAAAAGGCATAAAAATTATGCTTTCTCAAAAGCAAAGTTTCAACATCGACTCCCAAATATCGAAACTTCAACGCAGCTGTTCTAAAACATCTTAATCCATTGTTTTTTTTTATGAAATAAAACACAGTTTTCTTTATTCGACCGTGAATTGAAAATCACCCACAAGGGAAATTTCAAAGAGAGCTCTTATTTTTAAAATATCGAATAGTTTCTAAAATATAAATAAATAATTCATCTTGTTTTAGCGTTAAAATAAATATCCCTAGAAGGGAAATTTTTTTAATTGCTCTAATTTTAACTGCCTGCATGCAAATAAAGTTATATTTTCTTTAATTTCACTGCAAAAAAATGTTCCTTGAACAGATTTTCATTTAGTTTAACAAATTTTCTTTTAAAAAGTTGCTTGACGTTAATCCTTTATTAAAATAGCTAGTTTATATGTACATATAATGATGCATACTTAAATTTTAGAAACAGTCAATCAAATACCAAATAAGGAAATTTCAAAAAAGAACTATGATATCTGTATCTAGGCTACTGACCCCCCTTTGCCTCATTAAAAATTCGCTTCAACACTTTGAATTGTGCACTGCCACCTGATAAGCCGCGTAATCAAAGAGCCTTCAGCAGCCAGCAGTCGCACAACAGCTGCAATTATATGAGACCTATCTACATACATAAATGTATGAGTAATACATACATACGTATAAGCCTGAAGGAGTACATACTCATATATATTTACATTGTACATACGAAGTCACATGAATGCAAAACTATCTTCGGTAAGTAGGAAGTGTAAACACTAACCTACCCTCACACAAACCGCCATACTCCTATTACTTACAAATAAACACGTCAAAATAATCATTCGTTAAGTTTAGCGCATTAAACATTGGCGCCGGAAGGGTTCGCGTCGAGAGCAAATTAATGAGAGAACAAACGAGCAGAGGAGCAATGTTTAAGCATCCAGCAGTAAATGGAGAGCAAAAGTGTTATCGAACTCACCAAACTCAAAACGTGTGAATTGAGCTTTACAGTTACCAGCAACCTAAAAACAATAACATACGCACACCCACACCCATACATTAATAGAAAAGCTTTCAAGGATTTACATTGCGGTGAGTAGAAGGTGCAATTTATCAAAAGGTTGGGAGTTAAGTTGAAAGTAATCAAAAACTGATGAAACCAATGACGGTAACGCACAACACAATGACAATTGTCGAATACAAATAATGCTATAAAAGCTCTTCGGCTTCGAAGTTGAAAACAGTTGGGGAAATTCATTGAAAGCCGTTCAGCTGTGGCGTTGCTCTTACACTCTTCTCACTAGCTCAGATGTTAGTACTTGTCAATTCAGTTTATAATTCACCGGTTCGAAAAAATTTTGGTAGACTCGGAATTTTAAAGTAGTGTGAACCCCTCGCTTTATGTATGTATGATCCAATATCATCTATAAAACGGCAATACATAGCAGTTTGCAGAGCTATAAAGCAATTCTTTCGTAATGTGAAATATTTTTATCTTTCAAAATTTAATGATACTTTGGTGGTCTTAAGCTTTTATAAAAGCTTTTCGAAAAATTAAAAAAAAGCTCTTAAACCCCATTCTGAAATACTTTTAAAAATTGCGTTATTCTTAGAAAAGTTTTACTAGGCAAAATGAGCACTTATTTTAATTTTTTATTTCTTGTGACTTTAGAGCTTTTATAAAACCTCTAAAACTGCATTTCACCAAAATGCATGCGTGTACTTAACTGTTTATATGTATGTGTATAGCTACATATTTTCATAATATCAGCCAAATAAGCTTTCATTAGAGTTTTTAGTTTCATGCTTTTTTAAAAGCTTTTCAAAAACTTACTTTTATTTACACCGTTTTTCAAGTAAAATATGGAATTTTTAAACATCTTTCGGCGCTTAGGCGGTTTAGCTTTCACAAACACTCTTCAAAAATATTTCCAACGTGAAATTTTGAATTTCCTTATCATTTACTATTATTTTTTGTAGGCTAGGCCTCTTGAGCTTTCATAAAAGCTTTAAAAAAAAAGTAATTGAACGTAGTAATCGAAATATTCGAACAAAATTATTTACTCTGACCGCCACATGTTTGAGTTTTTATAATTTGTTTGCACCTAGTTGATTGGGCTTTTATAAAAGTATTTCAAAATTATTTTCAATTTAAAATTTGAGTTTTTCAATAAATATGTAGCTATGCTATTTAATTTATCGAACATATTTTTGAAAGTAAAGCTTGAAAATTTTAGTATAGCGAGCTTTTATAAAAGCTTAAAAAATCACGTGAAGAAATAAAAATTTAAAAAATTTTATCCTTTTTTAATCTA